AATAGGCCAACATAAATCATACGAAGTCATATGCCTGTCTTACCATGTCAGAATATTACAAAAAATATTAAAGGTGTCCTTTGGGTAAATTGCTTAAAACAGCCTTGAGGTAAAGGCAGTAGCGTAGCGAGGATTTTATTGACTGAGAGCCATCCGAGTGTGTAGGTTCCCTTTTTCGGATTTTAGATGACACTAGGCCTAGTCATGGATGTAACTATGAGCCCCCAAACCCCCCCCCCCCCCCCACCCTCTAAATAAGTTTATTCTATCTTCTCTATACGGACAGCTAAAGCTGATCTCTTTCACCTCTAAGAATATACCAATTTAGACGAATACACCCCTTTATGATAATAAAAAAGAACATGTATAACATCAAAGTTTAGTAAACGCAATAAAATCAATTGGATTAACATGGAGCTTACCTATAATTGTATAATAACAAACAGTAAGTTAAATCGTTTATACTTATGTATTATAATAATACCCCTAGATTATGTACTTAACAAAGATATTTTCCATAGCAAACAAACAATACTGTCAACTATTTGGTCCTTACTTAATGCAGGTTTAATAATAACAATGAACCTTATTAATAGAGGTATTATAGCGCGGGGTTACTTTGACACATAATTCGGGAATAGGGCTTTATGTGACAAGTTTGTTTTCATTGTAAAAATATTTTGGTAAAATATAGTTTTGTGACAGTCGCAGAAGCAGGATTAACGTTTTTAAAAAAAGATGCGTAAATGTGTACAGTAAAACAAATTTGGTTTCAAAGTAGATCTACCTTAGGTGAACACGGTTCAGTTTTTTAGTTCAACGAAACACCAATTTGGTAGATATCTACAGAAAAAGAAGAACAGCATGGAAATAAATTGTGAACTCAGTCGACCAATAGATTCGAATGTGACACCGAGAAAGGGGTTCCAAGGATCATATATCAGGAAAAAGACACAGAATTTTAACCACGAGTTCAACCGTCGATTGTCGACAAGGGATGCGAAGGTAACTAAAGATGAAGTAAGGCCTCAGACTGACTTGAGAATCACAGTGGAAAAGGAGATTCCGCATAATCCTAAAGAAACTATTAGCAAAGTCAAACAGTTGGAAAAAATAACAGAAAGAATTTTAAGTGAAAATCTTCATAATACGGACTATAATGCCATTCACTGCAAAGAAAAAAGTCAACTGTTGGCTTCTTTAATTATGGACCGTATTAAAAATGTAGTGGAAAGCAGTTTTAAAATTGTTGCTGCTGTGAGTATAGGTAGTTTAACAGAACAACCAGGCATGCAATTTGGTAGTCGTTGTCTGTGGAACAAAGAAACGGACCATTTTATTAGTGTTAAATACTCGAATAATCATATATTTGCGGTGGCTATGGTATATTGTTTGTATTTTGAATAAGGTTTGATTGTTGGTATTTTGATATTGTTGTTGTTTTGGTATTAAATTGTTCAAATCGAACTCTGTTTATTTTTAATATTCGTATTCATACTACTCAAATAATGCGTTTTCAATGAAAAAGACATTGTAGTGTCTATATTTTATATAGTTCAATGACAAACTGTCCCCAAGCAGTCTATGTTAGTACCCTGTGACCACATCACCTTCTACCATGGCTGCGTGTGTTGTATCAGAAATGACAGTGGTCCGAAAATTTGATATCTAGTTGTTATTTTCTCCCATTGACCACCCTTATATACTTATATATTAATAAAATGTAATCAAATTGGACAAGAATATTAAATGACCAATGGCAATATTCTATAATGACGAGGATTTGTTTATCGACAACTCTACCAAACCAACAGTAACGATTCTTATGGATCCTGCCACATGCGCATGCATATGGAATAGTTCAAAGAGACCATTGTGCCAAGGAAAGTCTCATTAAGGAGAATATTGAACCTGTACAGCACTCTTTATTTATATTTCTGCAGACATTGGCTGACAAGCACATGCAGTAACCGCTTGATACCCGATTGATCCAAAGTTACCACACCAAAATAAAACCAAACCACCAATCTGCAACAATCTGCTTACTGGTAACCAGACTACTCAGCAATAACGTCCTCGCCACTCATAATGAGCTTCGGAAATCGAGTTACTCACACGACACCACCAAGGGTCGATTGCTCTTCTACCAAAACAACAGCAAAAAAACAACCAATTGATCCAGATCCAACCACTAAGTACATGTGCCATGACTTTCAATACATAGTCTGGTTGATAAGAATCTTCTGAAATCGGAGGTTAACTTATCATCTACCAACCAACCAATAACATTATGTAGTTGGACGTTTGCATGCTAAACTGAGCCACCAATTACATCCTGACGTAGGTCCAGTTATTTCATCAGATTTTTCAGCCTGGTTTCCACAGAAGGTGATACAGTTCGGAGGGGCTGGAATGGGTTTGGACAATAAACTGATACTTGGTAGTCATTGACAGTAAGTAATCTAAAAAGAGCAAAACGATTACACAGTACCAGTCTTCATTTGGCCATCAGGTGAAGGAAATCATTTCTACTTTTATAATATGCCACCTTTCGCGGTATTTACGGAGAGGGTCATGGTTTCCAATAAGAACTTAGGCTAACCCGGCTTTGCCTTCCATCCTACCTCCTCGTTCAAATTTGACATAGGGAAAGAATTGCTTGTGAGCTCACTCTACCCCACTCTTTTGACAATTCTGTGCCTCTATTCAGACTTTCACCTTCACCTTAAACACCAACAACATTGACGCTAAAGATCACAATTGAGAAAAATATTAGACCATACATCATCAATATCAAACATTATGTTGTGTTAAGAAGACATTTGAATTAGTTGTCACCAATAATGCGTCTCGAGGGAAATTTTAAATCTAACATTTTACACACCTTCCACAAACGTGATGTCTCACATACAACAACAACCCGACTGAAAATACAGCTCTCAAGATTGTTCTCAGTAAATTTTACAATGGTTACTTCACCCAAACTACAAATTTAACCAATAGCCATGATTGACTGCGAATTGTTGGTAGTGATTTCGGGCTTCTTTGAACATTGAATAGCAAAGTAAGCCTGCGTCTAAGAGCTGTAGATTAAATGGCATTAATACAACAATAGTATCATCAAAGTCAAACTGGCATTAAAGTGATACTACGTCTTAGAATGAACATAAAATTTAAGTTCTCAAGAATGGTCAATATGAGTATATATTCTTAAGTGAACTTACTGATATCATAAAGTTACAACAGAATCCTTATAAAATCTGGGAAATTAGAAAATTCATAAAACTAAGTAATTATTGAAAAACGCTTAATCTTAATATTAAGTTTTTTGGATTTATCGGATTATATAAGTATCCTGTTATGTTATTTATGACACCAGGTATATCTACTGATGAATACATGCTCTAATTGACCAAGTTTAAAATTCTTAATTTTATGTTCATTCTAAGACGTAGTATGCCTGTTCGGAATTGGTCATCATATTATGATTAAGTAGTCTATAGAAAATGAACGAAAGGGAATATCAATGTGTATGTATGATATTCGCTTTGAAAAATTTCCCATGGATCCAGCTGTAAGTCCTAAATCGGAACGGGTAGTCTAAGAAATATCTATGATATCAGTGAAAGGCCAGCTGGTATGCAGTATCATCGAAAATCGATCAAATCTATCAAATACATAGCTTAGTTGTCAACTCGGGAGTCCCTTTGCGAAAGTCCGACAAATATGGTACCTTTATGAAATGATTGTAAACTAAGTTATTAATACTTTTATTCTGGATAACGGTAACCAAAATCTGAAATGCCTCAGACCATCTTTAAAATCCAGACTTGATGAAATGAGGTTTTACAGTTAATTTCTGATGAAGTACATAGACAATCTGTCTCAACAACTTCTTTGTTTTTGACATTTCTAACAAATTAAGACTTTGTTATTAGACCAAAGAAATGTTAAGCAACACTTGATTCACAAGTCTTTTAAGAAAAAATATCACAGCAAGTAAATTTTGACTATGTTAATTGCGAAGATGAAGAGGGTTTTAAGAAATTACAACACTGCTAACAAAGAAGACACTACTGGTTTCGACGAAGGAAGGGTTCGAGTTCGAGTTGAGATCTATGGTGCTGCATACTTCATTTAGAAAATAGAAGATGATCTATCTACTGTTTATGATTGCTTGGGTGTTTTCTTCTTCTGATCTTCGTTAATTTGTATTCAATCTGCATTAATACCAACGACTCGTTTACCAAGTTGTCAAAGGTCTAATTGTTGGAGTATGGTGCATTCTCATCTTTTAATGAGAATTTTTTGTATTAAGCTACTACAAAGCACAAGCTGACTATCTTACTTGCTCGATTACTAGTGGTATTGAACGAGACAACAAAGGGTGCTATGCCTGGGGCCGTCAGTGAGTTAGACGCTTGCTCGCTCCAGGGTTCAATCCCGGTCGAGATGGTACCTTCTTCAGCCCGACCCCCTTTAAGTGATGCAGGCAGGAAAGAGGGATTGGAAAAGGAAAAAGCGTCTAGTCGTTCGGATGTGACATTAAACCGAGGCCCCGTGTGCTACAGACTGTGCACGTTAAAGATCCCTCAACAGTTGAAAATCGAAAAAGAGCAGGCTAATGCCACTGTTCTGGCCAAATTTCCCCCATTGCACCCTGCATTGCGTTGCCTGTCTTCATTAGACCACATGGTGCAGAAAAGTAAGAAGTAAAACTCCATTCGCTACATCTTTTGCATTATGGTGAATGTTAAGTTTTATTGGTCTTGCTGTTGTTAGTTTCTCAATCCAGTGGACTTCGCTAGTTTGATAGAATTTCGTGTTGTCAACTTATATTCTCTGATAGATAGTTCAGTACAACCATTGATGATTTCTGTCCTGCGTTCACAAAATGGCTTTAATAGGATTTAAAACCGTCCCATCTACTCTGCTTTTATGACAATACTGTAATTTTACTCAGTAAAACGCCCTTGCGATGTAGATGGAGCTAATGCAAAATTTTTATACCGAAATGTATTGTAGATGATTGAAATTTAGCTGGAAAAACTAATGCTTATCCCTTTAAATAAAGCATTTACCCCAAAGAAATAACCCACAAACTATCGTTATAAAGAAGTCAATGAACGGCAGTTAGGCTAGAACTAATATTGACATTAAACTCACTTGATTGCCATTGTGTATATCCAAATGTCCAATGTCTAGCATTGAGATCGACGTGGTTGTCAGAAAAGTATTAAGGGAATAAGCGTAATTCAATTGTCAACTCCAGACACAAGTTCTTTTTAATCACACTAACATTGTTGATTTTTAGATCTCGTTTCTTATATAAAGTTAATCAATGACAATAAATTGAAAGAATAGTCTAAACCATTCCACTGACAATATGACTGAAATTGATTTAGTAAGACTACCAATGACACAATACGTGTATCTTTTATAATCTCAACTTTAAATCATTCCGTGTATATCAGAATCCGACAAAGATATATTCTTGTGGGACTTGTGAACACGTAGAGTAGTATATTGAATTTCAGCTTTTGTCAATAATCAAATTTTTGGTGAATTCGAATATCAGATTCAAAATAGTCACAGCTGGCAATGATAAAAATTAAGGCTGGTATTGCGACTAAAAATCGTATTGCGATATAATGCGATACACCTCCTTGTATTGCAATATGTATTGTGATATATATTTCAGCTTTTTTTTAAAATTTGTGAGCAACTTTCTTTGTTGATCTTCACATAAAAAGTGAAAGTAGATTTAAAATATCGTAAATATTGATACGCACAGATCGTTACCGATATCTAGTTCTGAATCTCCCATATCGGAATATATAGGTATATCGATTATTTCCGACAGCCCTAAAAAAAAAAAGGTTAAATTCGTATGTTGCACCTTTCTCCTAGAAACTTAAATAAAACATCTTATATATTAGCAGAAAATTGCACTGAAAAAATAGATGCATTTTTTTTAAAAATGTTTGTGTCTTGAGTGACACGCTGAGATTTCTAATGATTTTAAACTCTGAAACAAGCAGTTATTTTCTTGAGAGTTTTGTACTCAATCTTTCCATTTTGTCGTAGTAAATATTATTCTGTTGCCATCACAGTTTAGAATTGAATTGTGCTAGCTAATCAATGTTATAGCATACGAACAAAGAAAAATGTCCTAAATATATACTAGAAAAGCAACTTGAAGTGGAACTGCTTCCATCAGTCGACTCATAATTCTTTTTTATTCATTTTGTACAAGTGAAATTCTTGCTATTTTGCAATGTTTATGATAAAAATAATTTTATTGTAGCTATCATCGAGTAAAAGATGCACAAATCGAGTAAAAGATGCACGAATTAAAATTCAAACAGATTAAAAAAGGCACTAAGTTGAATCAACTGGTCAAC